CCAACGTTTGGTCACTATTAGGGGGCGACCTCATTTAATAAACTTTACTAAGCATACAAACATTATATGGCTTTTTTGTAAATGTCTGTGTGGTTGCTGTTTGCCGAAATAAAAATACCTCTTCATACCTGAGTGTTTAACAGATGTGCAGTGTTAATTCTGATCACTATTTTACATTTATTCTAAAATGAAGAAGAAAGCAAAGAAAAATGTTTATTAGTTTTAGTCGCATTTTAGTCCTTAGCAGTTTTAGTCAACGAGAATTCAAAACATTTTAGTCATATATGTTTTTAATCTTTACACTAATCCAGTGAGGTAATTCATGTATCAGAATAAGAATCAAGGTGACAGGTTGTATAAAATAATGTGTGCGTCATGTCTCCAGCAGTGTTTGACAGTATTAAGGGCTGATTTACGAGCACACACTTAATGATCATCATTTGAAAAGCTCAACATGTCTCTATTTATGCTCTCAACAAATAACTAATGTGAGACAACTAGGATTTTCATTGTAAACTCTGACTTATCCATCTGACTGTTAAGAAGCAGAAACATAACTTCTTTCTTCATCTGCAACATGTTAGTCTGGAGGTTTAAACTGGTGTCCTCTCACAGAGTTGCTGATTCAAACTAAAAAACAGCTGTGAGGTCCGGCGGTCGGTGGCTGCTTGCTCCGCTGCCGTTCAGCAGCTAACGAGCGGAACTAGCTGCTAACAGCCACCGCTGCAACTAACAAACTCCACAAATCCATTCAGCAGCTCCACCATCCACAGTCAGACACACACGGCTGATTATTTACTGCTGAGTTACAGCTCACAACTTGCACCAACTGCTGAAACATCCTGGTGCAGACTATTTACTAGAGTTTACCAGCCTGTTGCTCATGCAATTTTGAAGATAATTACAAGCACGGCTGTTCTTGGCTTTCAGTGTCCGACAGTCCACCACGAACATTTTTATTAGGTCTCACCAACGAAAATGAAACATACATTTCCTCTTAGTTTTTCTTATCAAGACCCATTTTTATTCGTCAACAAAATTGACACTACAGGTGTGTTGAAGGGCAGAACAGCTTCAATAAAGGTGGATCAAAGCGTTGCTCACTGCTGGTTTCCTGGTCTGTTTGTTGGGTTTTTATCTATGTGACTTAAATATTACACAAAAAGTAAACGTTGTTAAATGCCTGCATTAACAGATGGCTCATGCCTAGTCTAAGGATCGTACTGGGCCGATCCAGGAATGCCGATAGCAGATCGTATCAGCTGTCTCTAATTCTGTGTAATTTGATGACATGCCAAAAGTTAACTTGTGTTGTTGTGTTTGTGTGTCTGTACTCAGCCACAGAGGGATCTGTGAGGGAACACTCCCTAACCTGTAACCAACCAGGTTATGTCTGCTTTCTAAGTTACCATGGAGATCTAGCCAGGTTAAAAGAAAGCCACCTTCCTAGGACTGAAAACTCTGACTTTGGGCTCAATGTACCTCACTAAGCCACTATTCTTGCTTCATGGTGCATCCCTAGCGTGTGTGTTTTGCATGAACTGAGGGGGGGTCTGGATGAGCTGTTGGCAGGTTGATGCATCAGATCAGATGTGAACATGGAGGTAAGCAGCTGTAGTTGCTGGAACATGGACGGTCAGTCCACAGTAATGGTTTTATTATGGAGCTCAGTGCTCAGTAAATCATTTAGCAGAGCTCCAGAGCTCCGCTGGAGGATTTATCTGATCTAATGAGCTCACCGTCACTGGTCTGAAACTCAACGAATAACACTTGACCTCTGGATTCTGCAATTCAATTAGTCTTTGATTTCAAACTCATCTTTATTTACATCACTGGTGTCTTTTTCAACAGGTGAGTTCACATGTTTGTATTTTATTGTGGTGTCTACATGTGGGCTACAAGGGTTTTAAACTTGCTGACTCTTTGCATATGAATATGAAACCGTAAAGGTTGCACAGTTGAACGCCCGGAGCAACAGGAGCTTAACATCTTCCTGGTTGTAAAATCTCATCAGAGATTTCCGCTCGCTCTCACAAACCAATTAACCAAAACTCATTAGCTCAACTTGTTTGAGAGCGCCTCACAAACTGATACGGAACCGAAGACAGCTGCTGCACATTCATTTGACTCCAGTCGGTCTACAATCTGAACAGAGAGCTGACGAAACACAGCATCCATCAGCAGCAAGGCTCCACCCCTCTGATAACATTAGCGTATGTGCTCCCACACAAACGGATAAGATAATCCCAGCTCTCCCTCTGGGTCCAAACTGATTGACTTAATTGTCTTCTGAATGAATCTCATTTCTTCCTCGATAGAGCGAGAGGAGGAGGAGCTGCATCAGAACCACCAGCAGGACTATTTTCATTTCTTTACTCTGACCTTCATCATCACAGGTTTTCTGTACAGGGACACTTTTAGACATTTTTCAAGTCACAAGAAGCGCTTGATTGATTTCTTCTTGTGATAAGTTTGTACAGATTTCAGGAGCCGAACACCAGCTCTTCTTAAATTCAAACTTGCCCTCGATCAAATGTAACAGGAGATTTTTTTAATCACTGTATATTTAATCTAGAATAAAGAGGTTGCAAACAAGAAGCAACCTGCAGGGCTAAAATAAAAATTAAATTAAGGGCGTGTCTAGTATGAGTGACAGGTGGGTCAACCCCAGAGTCACAGAGTATAGGCGTAGCCAACCCGGTCTCACTCAAATCAATTAGTGCCAAATTCTGGTACTTTAGAGAGCACCTGGGTGAGAAAGCCGGGTTCGGACAGGAGGTGGAAGCACGTCTGCCGCCTCTCTGAAACTGGTGGCTCTGCTGCAAGACACCTGAACCCAGGAAGCCAGGAGGCCAGCCATCGAATTCCACAGGCAGCTTCTAGCATCTGGCTTCGGGGCGTTTTGCGATGCTTGCACATCCTGTCTGAACTTCGCATTCTCACCAAAGTGCAGTCTTAGGTACCAAAATTTGGCACGAATTGATTTAACATGAATCAGTACTCAGCTGTCCGACATAATTCAGTTTGTTCCCTTAAGTACTCCACCCCCATTTTGTAGCGAAAATGCCTAAAATGATATACCCATATTAAAATGACTGTAGCTTCTGAACTGCTCTGACTACATGCATGCATGAGGTCTTGCCAGAAAGAAAACTATCTGAAGTTTCTTGTGAAAGTGTCAGAAACACTCTAGGTGATATAGAGACAGAGTAATGGTCCTCTGAAGTCAGTAAAAAATTGAAGATTTTGCCTAAAATCAAATAAAAAATGATTTTCAGGATGAATAACTGTCTGTGGCTTCATCTGAGCTGGTAAATGACACTGTGGGGCTGTAGGCACACTATCAATGAACATTTGTTACAAATTTGAAGAAGATTGTTCAAAGTATGACCATTCTACAGTGTTTTTTTCATGAAAAGATCCAGGCGGAGCTCCAAATGACAAGTCTGTCACTTGGCTTTAAAACAGTACTATCAGTGATCAAACAACACTCAGCCAGCTTCAAACATTGTACCTTATTGAAATCAGGTGTGATTTTGATAGCTGATGTTGTTTATGACACAGAAACACCATAAAATATCACCAAATAAAGCCATATGAAACGTGAAAGTTATGATCCCACTTTCTAGACGGTTTATCTCAGCCAAAAATAGTGGTATGAGTGAGACTCTTACCTTTTATAAAAGAGCTACGTGCCTGCTAACAGCTCCACATAAGATCGCGAGTAATCATTTAAACTTTTTTTTTAGATTTTTTTTGGACATTTTTAAGCCTTTAATTGATAGTACAGACAAGCGTGAAAGGGGGGAGAGAGATGGAGTGACATGCAGCAAAGGGCCACAGGCTGGAGTCAAACCCGGGCCGCTGCAGCAACAGCCTTGTACATGGGGCGCCTGCTCTACCACTAAGCCACCAACACCCCAATCCTTTAACTTTTCTCGTCAAAAAACGGCATGACATGACTTGTCACCACTCATTGCGATTTTGGACTTTGTGTGTTTAGGCTGCTCTGGTGCGAAATACATAATAAATAAAAGAAAAACGATGTTATTTTTGAAAAGTCGAGAGCTTCCTGAATCCTGCAATCCCAGTGCGCCTGGGAGATACCATTTAACGGAGGAGGGAGGGAGCGAGGACGTCGGCGTCCTGGCAGAGTTAGAGAGGTTAAGTCAAGTCAAATCAAATTTATTTATAAAGCACATTTAAAAACAACCCAAGTTGACCAAAGTGCTAAATGTTAAATGATACCCAACTCTATTGTTGACTGCAGCTTGTGAACAATTAAAGTTTTATTATTACAGAAAGAGTAAACTAGAAAAAAAGGTGCAGTAAGATACTGATACAGATTTTGAGGTACCTGCAGCGGTAAAGCTATCGGTTCAAATGTGAACGCTCCCCAACCCTTTTGATGCCAACAGTCTTGAACTTTATAGTCATATAAGTTTAATATACCGAACACAGAATGATAGCTTCATTTGTTTAGACCTTAATTCACTGACAAATCTAAGAACAAGTTGAAAAGCTCAATGATCTGAAACCCTGAGCAGCATCGTACTGCGGTTCACAACTGTAACACCTTGTTTCCTTACATGTAACACTGCACAACAGTTCCTCTGTGTCTGATCTTCCACCTCAAACATGATGTTTCCTTTGTGACTTTGAGTTCAAACGTTTAAGTCACTGACAGAAGTTGAACCCGACAGGCCTGAAACACACTGAGAGGTTCAATATCCCAACAGCAGGATCTGACACTGAGACACAGCTGCTACTATAACACTGCTACATCGCCACCTTGTGACCAGATTACATAAACTGAGCCAATTTATCAAACTGGCCGGAGTAAACTAAGATTACATTTAACCAGTGTTCATAAGTTAATATTATATTCTATGTTATTCTGTTTCTTACTTTATTCTTTTAGTTCCTTCTCTTCTTTCTGTCCATTGTTTCAATCACTCACAAAAACAAATCTCTACGCTTCGTGTTGTGTGTTGGCTCACCTGAGGCTGAAGCAAAGCATCCTGGGATGTGAGGTGACCAGATGGTGCTGTAGATGACCCCTTCGTGACCCCTGAGTGTGGTCAGTGATCGGCTGAGAGCGGGGTCCCACTGGAGGGAAGAAAAATACACAAAAATAAAAACAGCGCCGTCAGAAGAAAAAAAGAAAGAAGTATGGAGACAAACTGAACTCACAACTTTAGCGGTTTGATCCCACGACCCGGAGACGATGAAGTTCTCTCCTCTGGTTTGACTCCAGTCGACAGCATACACCTTCACACACACACACACACACACACAGTCAAAACAAAGCATCCTAACAAAAAGCACACATTTATCCATCTGTGTGTGTGTGTGTCTCACCTCTTGTGTGTGTTCTTTGGCCACTCTCAGAGGAGCGCTGTGATTGGCTGTGTCCCACAGCTGAAGGCTGCCATCTCCTCCCCCAGCGACCACGACGTGCTCGTTGGCTTCGCTCCATGCTACGTCAAACAGACCGTCACTCCACTCCCATCTGACACACACACACACACACACACACACACACACAACACCTGTATTATCACTGACTCACAAATATGGAAACTACATTTAAAAATGAATCAGTGTGTTACAGCTGATCTGAGGCACATTATGATCCGTGGTAAATGTTCATGGCAGTGATTGAGATACTCACAAAATATAGGTCTGTGGATTATCTTGAGATGTTTTTTTGCCTCTTTGAGCACCACAAGCTGAGTGCCATCTAGTGCCATTATACTGAAGAGAAGGCAACATCTCTACAGCTGATATCTCCAACACTCAACAACTCACACTGAAATTATCTAGACTGATAAACAGCACTACAGGTACAAGGAAAAATACGTTCTATTGATTATTGGGATGAACTTTCCCCTTCACTATAAAACCGGGTGAAAGAAGCCAAGACAAACAAACAAGCCTAAGATAAAGCGATAATAATAAAAATAAGATACAGCGAATGGAAATATAACATAACACTAAATTCAGAGGAGAAAGACAGACAGACACTTTACCTTCCCACGAGATCAACCCCCGTCTCTGTCTCATCCAGAACCAGGAGGGTGCCGCAACCTATGAAACATGCACCACGTGCATTTTTTGTTAATTTATCATATTTTTCCAAACTAACAGTCACAGACTCATAAAGTCTCTGAACTCTGCAGCAGGTTTGAACAACATTCCTCCAAACATGTTTCCTTATTTGACGGCTGTGGGAAGCAACGTCTAACTCCAGTATCCCCAGAAGTTTAGGGATCGGTTCAGAGAGCTGGTCACATTGTGACTCTGTTCCTGGTCTGTAAAATACCCGGATTCATTACCTTAATGAGACCTGCCGGTCCACCAGCAATCCCAGCCCAGTTTTAAAGCTAGAATGAGGATACAAGAAGAATCCCAAGAATCCAGTTGTACAGACCATAGCACGCTAGGTTCTCAGGAAAGAGGCTGCAGCAAGGAATCTGCCCTCTTCATGCTTATCATGTACTCTGGAAATCCAGAGTTCTCGTGAGAGCACAATTTGAATTTGCTCAGTGAGTCACTCTGGCAATCAGTAATGATGCTCATTACCCATGCCCTTGTAGCCGAGCTGCACCAATCACATCAGTGTATCTGATATAGGCGGGCCAGAGGCGAGCTAAACAGATGACGACAGCGCTGTGACAATGAAGTCCGGAATCTGTCAGTAAACATTGCAAGATGGCTACGGATGAACACCAGTTGTTTGAAACAGCTTTGGCTGCTACAATGAACGAGTTAGACTTGGCTTTTTCTCTAAAAGAGGAACAGAAGATGGCGCTCAAATCTTTCCTTTGCAAGAAGGACGTTTTTGCTGTTTTGCCGACCGGATACGGCAAGAGTCTAATCTACCAATTAGCTCCGCTGGTAGCTAAGCTCTGGATACATCATCCCGTGTATTGTTCTGATTGGTCGTAGTGTTATCCAATTGCGTGCAGTGATATTTACAAACGCATGCTTGGTGTCACCCCTCGAGTTGGGACATTTGCATTACTCATAGCCAGACCCTAAATCTTTCTAGATTTGGGTCTGGATTTCCAGGCTACTTATCATGTGCAGATTTGGGCAAAAACCATGCAGTATAAATGTTATTTTCACCTATTGTGTTTGGATATTTCAGGAAACTGGGGTCCCTAAGCAGTCTTTAAATTGCATAAACCGGGTCTCACTGCACGGCTGAGGCTGTTGTGGAGTCATAGAACCCAATTTTATTCATGTGTGATGATGTTAGTCCCCACAGCAGCCATTTTATTGTCGTGAGACAGTTTCTTTGAAACAGACATCACTGTGCAAAATGACCTGTACTGACCTCTGAGATAATCACAGCCTTGTGAAACTTTACAGGCACAAACTAGAGACTTGGTACGTTCAGCAGATGAATAGCATTCCTAAGTATATTGACAACAAGGGGGTTTAGCAGAGGTGCTCACCATTAGGGCGGCAACTAATGATTATTTTCAATGTCGACTAATCTGTCGATTATGTCTTCGATTAGTCGACTAATCATTTTATCGAAAAATATGTTAAAAAGTTGAAAAATGTCGGTCTGTCTCTCCCAAACCCCAAAATGATGTCATCTAATGTCTTGTTTCATACTCACACCAAAGGGTTTGAGTTCACCGTCATGGGAGAGTGTGTAAAGCTGCCAATATTTCAACATAACAAGTTGCAATAACAGTATTTTGGGGTACTTTTATAGTACTTTTCTATAGGCCCGTTTCCACCACAGGAACTTCGGGGTAATTTTACGGGGCCGGGGCCGTTGGTGCGTGTCTCCACCGCAGGAACCACCCTCGAAGGACAGAGTTCCAGAACTTTTATAGGGGCTGAACAAGTCCCTGCCTCGGAGTAGGTACTCAGAACGGCCCCGAGAAACTCCTGGGTGGGGCTTGGGGATTACTTGGTGCTGACTGGATATACTCAAGGTGGGATGGGACGTCAACAGAAAGCGACAAAATAGCCGGCATTTTTAAAACTCAGCAGACTAGGAGTCCTCTCATTCATAGCTTCCACCGCCATGTAAATGAAGAGACACGCCAGAAACCCAGCAACAACCTCAGCTCCTTCCATGTTGATAATCGTCTTTCTTATGTCTGCTTTCTTCTTCTTACTTCTGCTTCTTCTTCTTTGTTGTTGTTCTTCTTTGTTTGTTTCTTTGCCACGTCGCCCCTGTCAAAATGGTCGCGCAACGATTACGTCACATCCAGAGCCCGGTAACTTTACAGGAACCTTCCTCCTACTCCGCTCTCAGTGGAGACACAGCGGTTGAGAGGGCCGAGCAAGAGGACGTTCCTGTAAAGTTCCTGCCCCCCAAATACTACCAGGAACTTCTTGAGTGGAAACGGGCATTATGAACTAAAATAGTCACCGATTATTTTAATAGTCGATTAGTCATCGATTAGTCGACTAATCGTTGCAGAAATCTCTAATCGTCAAAAGTGTTCGAGACCGAATCACAGCATGGATTTTTCTATGTTGTTCCTCAACGTCTTTGTGTCTTAATGTGGCATTCTGAAGGGTTTTCCAACATTAACTCCATCTTCGCTAAGTTGGGGTATGGTGTGACATGAAACAACATGTTTTTATGGTGCTCTGTGTGTGCCACCTCTAGATATCTAAAGATCAATGAGTAAGGCAAATAAAGCTTTGTCACTTTGCTAGTAAACCTCCTCTAAAACCTTTTATCTTTCCCTGTTTTTTATGAGCAGACAAAAAATATGTAGGTAACAGGCTTCTTATTTTCAGCCAGTAACAGATTATATCAGCCGTCACTAATTGAACTCTATGATGGCTGTAATGAAACATTTGGTTTTGTGAGTTCTTTGCACGCCGGGGTGCGTACTGACACAAAGATCATATGTGGGGAAAGAAACATCCTCAGTAAGACTCTCAACCAGAGGGGTGGCTCTTCTCTAGAGTCACATCCAATTTTAATGAGAATTTCCCACTTCTATGGATATCGTATCAACATTATGAGGTCAACGACTTAATAATCATGCACAGAGAGAAGTATTTTGAACAAGCCGCTCATGTAAGTGGAAACATCAGCGTGCCGCTCATTCAGGTTGCAGCTGCAGACTGTGAACATTAATGAGGCTGCCTCTAAAAGCTGCCGTGTTTTCAGCTTCTCAGACGACAAATGTTGAGTTTTGGCTGGCTGGAAATGTTTAAAGCTGAAGCTAATAACATTTATTAGTTCTGGATTTCATAAGCAGATTGGATACTGGACTCAGATGTGTATGAGCCATTATACAGTAAATGCACCATACTGACCAGCTATGCCATAGTACTGGGAGACAGCACAGGCCACTCTGTTGGGTATGAACGGAGACACCTCCACAGCGTAGCCATGACGGTCCGGACAGCGAAACACCTTCACCATTTTCAGTAGCTTCCTGCAGCCCAGCTGGGCTCCCTGCTGGAAACAGAAATTAAAGTGTTGGCTATTTTCTTCCACTGAGACCGACTGTGGAGTTAAAGGAAAACTTCCCCTCTAAATGATCATTTGTATGTCAGTTACTTGCAAGGTGTTGTATTGAATTCATGAAGAAAACTTTGATTTTCTCTCATGGTTCCACAGTGAACCAAGAATCCAAAAACAGAGAAATGTCTTGATGAATTGAGGTCACAGGGGTCCACGTTTGACAACAGGAACACTGTATCAAAACAGTTTATAAACTCTCACACAACACGTGCAGTATAACCCAAATTGACAGCCCTTTCTGAAACTGAACAGAGAGTGGAGCTCACCTCTGCGAGCCAGACTCCATTGACAAAAACAATAATTTCATCTCACTGAATCTGGGAGCTGCTGGTTCGATCAGTAAGGGGGCGATCACAAAGAAATGAGACGCTAGAAAGGCAATGCCATTAAAACCATTGTTTTCCTATGATACGGCGCATCTGACCGGCGTTCAAGCGACTTTTTAGACAGGCGTTTTTCCGGCGTCTTTTTAGATGCACATTTTTAGACGCGCGTAGACGCTGAAAAGTTAAAATATTTTCAACTTTTTGAGTGTCAGACACCAGTAGCACCATTTGTCATTGTTGTCATTGGGCCAGGCAGCCAATCAAATCCTCCTTCCTGTTTTGTTGTGGCAGTTTGGTCAGTTACGGCAGTTACGAGCGACAGACAACACAATGCAATCCGAAGACGAGAAATTTATCCTGACAATATTTGATTTTGATGAATTATACAACACACGCACACCTCAGTACTCGAACAAACACAGGAGGAGACACGCATGGAGCTGTGTGAGCAGCGCAACAAATTTGTCTGGTGAGTACAATGTAATTGACGATGACGATAATATGCTAGCTAGCTAGCCATCGTAGCAGTTAGTTAACTTTCAGACAGTGGGATATGTGAGAGGGCTGGTGACTTTATTTCGTAGTTCACAGTTTTTGTGCTGCATTTTTATGTATGAAAAGTGCTGTATAAACAAAGTTGGATTTGATTTGACAGCTCGTGATAGTTTCATGTAAGCTACTGTCTCTAATGTCTTTGAGGGAAACACTATATTCAAGGGGAGACATAGGGAGATGACAGGAGGTGTGTGCGTGTGTTGCGCACGCACCCCCGCTCCACAGACGCCCCTTGATGTTTTTTTTGTCTAGCGCGCATTGAATAAGCGCTTCCAACGTTTCAAGCGTCTTTGAAGCATCCGCGTTTCTGCGTCTCATTTCTGTGTGATCGCCCCCTTAGTTAGTTTGTGTGACTGTGTGACTTTGGTGAATCTGAATGAACCCTCTGAAACACCAAAGTCACACAAACTAACTAACTTATAGAGGCAGCAGTAGACCAGCAGCTCCTGTGTTCAGTGAGGGAAAATTACTGTTTTTGTAAATGGAGTCTGGCTTTGAAGAGAGCACAGGTAAGTTTCACCTTTAGTGCAGTTTAAAATAGAAAGGTTTTATTGAACATTCTGAGTACTGAGAATACGACTGCACAAATGAAAAATGTTTTGATGTAGTTTGCTGTTGTTAAACACAAACCCCTTTTACTCTAATTCATCAAGAATTTTCTCAGTTTTTGGATTCTTCGACTGAGAAAACTATATATAAAACTATAATGTTACTTATGCTAATTCTAAATAATGGAAGAAAACTATCTTGGAAAACTTTTATACACACACACACATTATTATTATATTCATCTTCAGTTGCCGGCCCCTGTGTTTTGTTTTTGTCCACGTCACATTAAAGCTGGACAAATATATCTAAAATGAGGAATTAATGGACACAGTTAAACAAAATTTTGTTTGAACTTATTGACACTTTCACTCGCTCTGACTCTGGCTCATTTTTTTTTTTTTTTTTTTTTTTCAAGATATAAGTGCGCAGTCTCCACATACATGCATTAAAAACTCTACGTCCACTGGATTAAAATGGAGGTTCTACCTTTTCTTGACCTGTTGCCATGGTGAATCGTTGTATCAGAGCTCCACTGATGATGGCTTTTTTCATTCAACACTTAAAGATAGAAAATACTCAGAGTAAACTAAACTGACTCTGATCAGCTGTTCTGAAACCAAAAACTAACTCAGAGTTCAAGGTTAGACTCATGTTTGTTAAGTCTGACGTTCTGAAACCGGCCCCTGAACTGACTGTGTAACTCATCAGCAGATATCATAAATAAACAGTCTCCAACTGAGCGATAAAATCACCGCTGCACATCTGATTTAGAGAACACAGCACATATTCAGTCAGTCATGATCTCAGTTATTCATCTCCCACACACAGGGGGACAGAGTGCAGGTCAGAATGACCTCAGAATGACCTCTTATTCAGTGGTGCAAAGTAACTAAGTACTTTCACTCAAGTACAGTACTCAGGCACAATTCTACGGAAGCGTATTACTTTCACTTGACAAATAAAAAAGCCCTGTTTTTCTAAGTAATTTTTTCTGTTTTTCGGAGTAATTTTTTTCTGTTTTTTTTTTTTTGTTTGTAATTTAAGTATCTTGTCTCCTCCTTCAGGAAAAAAAAATTACCACGAAAAAACAGAAAAAAATTACAAAAAAAAAACAAAACAGAAAAAAAAATTGCTCAGAAAAACTGAAAAAATTACACCAAAAACAGGGAAAAAAAATACCCCGAAAAACAAAAAATATTACTCAGACAAGCAGGGCTTTTTTTATTTGTCAAGTGAATGCAATACGCTTCTGTACAGTTCTGAGGTACTTGTACTTGAGTATTTTAATTCTATACTTCTTTCTACCTCTACTTTACTACATCTCAGAGGAGGGCAGTTTTGTAGATTCAGATTATTAATCCAAATATAAATCAACTAATAATATATGATGTGTTATTGCAGATTAAAGTGAGCTGCAACAATGAAGTGATGAACACATTTATGCATTAATGATTTAAATTATATAATACATTTTGCTCTGTGATTGGTAATTCTGCATAATGAGCACTTTTACTTTTGCATGCTGATGCTACAGATTATTTCTACACTGTGATGTCACTACTTTTATTAAAGTATACGATCTGAATACTTCTGCAATATGCATATATGAGTTTAAGACTTTTATAATACTTTACATCTTCTGTAGTGGTTAAAATAAATGTATAACATCCAACATGACCAGATAATCACTGTAACACGTTATAAACTGACTCAGACAACCGTTACCGACCGTTACCGACATGTCCCTGTACTCACAGATGGAAGAGAATCAGTTTCAGACTTCACCGGAAAGTCGAAACGTTAAAACAACTTGACAACGGTCCACAAAACCATAAAGAAAGCGGTTCGAGCTGCTCCTCTGCTCCTTAGCGCCTGACAGCTTCACTACTGCAGCACTACTTCCGTGTTTTGATCAGCTGATCCAAATACCCGGATGAGCGCTGTTGCAGTTGTAATACTCCTAAGACGTCGGTAGATGGCGGTGTTTCTTCTGAATTAAAACACCAGCAGTGATCCAACCGTCTCTGTTACAGAGGTTCTGAGTGTAACCCTGGACTCTGGAGTTAATTTGGTGATGCTGTCACCATGGCAACAGGTTCATAAAAAGCCTCCATTTTAATCTGGTGGACACAGATATGCCTACTGCACATATTTATCTGAAGAAAGGGAGCCTGAGTCAGAGGAAGACACAGAGAAACTCATTTTCATTTTTGTTCTGGGTGCTTAAAAAATTATTTCAATAACTCAATTTCACTTTGATCTTTTCTGATTATCTGTCTTCAGATAGCTTTATTTTGTCCATCAAGTAGGTACAGATGAAATCAGTGCGCTATGCTATGTTGTGTGCTGTGATTTGCATGATTAAAAGGTGCATCACCTCTCAGATAAATCAAATACAATTCAGACTCAGACAAAAAAAAAATACTGTCACAGGAGTCATTTTATTATAAACAGCACAAAAACATGAGGAAGAAAGAAAAGTTCAGTTGCTGTATCATAAAAATGCAAAAAACAAAAACTTTGTCAGCAAGTTAATTATTGTTCAAGTCCACAAATATATATGATTCATATAGTATTTATAAAAATGTAAAATAGTTTGACATCACTGAACACTCATCGCACCAAACTCGGCCTCGTGTACAAACTGCTGGATCTTTGTTCTGAGCCACGACTGTTTCTCCGCAGGAAGTCTCCTCATGGCTGGAGCCAGGCTCAGTAAGAACAGCGTGACATCGTCTCTCTGGTCCAGGTCGCGCTCTTTCTGAGCGTCCCTGGCCTCCATCCTCCTCAGGTACTCCTCCAGCAAACCGTCGCTGCTCTTCCTCTTGGCGCGGGTCGGCCGGGGAGACACAGCAGCGACACTGAACTCCTCCTCTCCGTCAGTTTGGTCCAGCAGCTCGGCCGCCTCGGCATCCTGCTCCTCTGTCTTCAGCCTGGAAGCGGAGCAGGGTGGCAGCAGGCCGCGGTTCGTCTGAGGGTGATGGAGGTCGGACTGCGCAGCGGGAGGCATCAGCTGATCTGAGGGCTGCGAGGAAGAGTGCGAAGACGCTAAGGACGCAGCTAGAGACGTAACTGAATGCATCATCATCTCAAACAGCTCCTTCATGTTATCCTGTTGTTGGATTTGGACGCAGTCGTCTTTGGCGGCAGTGTCCGTCAACTCCATCTTTGGTTCTTTAAATCTGATCATGTCTGTGATGGCAGAAGACGAACGCTTCCTCTGAATAAACTCCAAGGATGACGATGACGTCGTCGTGGCATCTACCACAGAGATGTCTGCAAACACAGATGAAACAATTTCATTTTCACCCCACAGCAGAATCTTTTAATATTCAATACACGGCCACCAACTCCAGCTGAGTATCTGATCTCAACACCTGATGACTGACACACACCAGGAGACTTCGAAAGACTTTTAAATTGACACCATCCCTCGTCTTAAGACCACGTGAGTTTTTTGCCATCTTAAAGAAAAAAATGTACGAGAATAAACTTCCTCAAACTGTTCCTTCAGCCTTGGATCAATATGTGGGAGGAATTCTCAGCATCCTTTTCTACAAACCGTAACTGTCGTCGTCGTCGCTCCGCGGCTCTGTGGTCGTGCTGCAGCCCATTTCAGATGCGTGGAGGTGAGAGGGCTGCGGGTCCAGAGCCCAGCCGTTGGTGCCTGCAGCCCTGGCATCGATGAACGGGTTCAGAAAGGACAAAATGGCCGAGTATCTCCACGGCCTGTAGTTAAAGAGCCCGATGCCGCTCTCGCGTCTCTCCTTCTCCCGCTGCCTCTCCCTCCGGTGTTGGTCCCTCAGCGTCTTCCACTTCCTCCTGCATTCAGACTCTGATGGACACAGGGAGCATGAATATGACGACATTAAAACAAATTTGACATTTGATTTTTTTTTTCTTAATATCCAAAAAAAAATCTCATGTGAAGACTCAAACCAACCAACTACTCTGTGAGCATTTCGATATGTAACAGTAGAAGGATATCTTACAGTTAAACCATAAACTATATTGTCGAGAATGACATCAGTGCACTGACACAGTAAACTTCATTGGGAATTTAATAATCCTAAATTACTCCAACCTTTTTTTTTTCTACATTATGTTCTGTTTAAAAAAAAAACAACTTTTCATTACAGTGCATAGTGGACAACATAAAGTCCAACACTGGCTGATAACTAATGATTATATTTGTTACTAATAAATCTGTACAATATTTTATCGTCATCGATTGGCCTACAAATCTATAGAAAACTGTGAGAATTGTCTGTTTCGAGATCCTACGGCCTAAAGTGACTTCATCAAATGTCTTGTTTTGTCCAACCAACATTTCCAAAACTAAGAATATCAAATTTAATATTTTATAAGACCAACGGGCGAGGCAAATCCTCACATCTGACAACCTGGAAGTATCACAGTTTGCCATTTTTTCTTTGTAAACCATAAACAATTGATGATCAAAATAGTTGCTCTTTAATTTTCTGTTGAACAATTATTAATAATAATAAAAATTATAGCTGCTGCACAGCGATGGGTTGGGTCCGGGCATTTTAGGCAATTCTGGGCAACAAGCAGAAGAATTGGAAGACATTTAGGAATTTAGCAACACAATCTGCCTTTTGCATCAGCTGAGGCTTGAACTCACAACCTCTGAGACTACGAATCAATTTCTATCTCACTATCTCATGTGTAGCTTCACAAATTGACTAAGCCAGACGTGCAGGTTTAGCAGCAGTCCGTGCATGGAAAAGCAGATTTCAAACCACTGTAAAAAATTCAGTTATCGAAACAAAAATCTGAAAACACACATATTGCATCTAGACAGCATGGAGATGTTGGTAATTTGTTTGTAACAATGATTGATTTGCTCCATAAGTGAAAAACTGATGTTTAAAATTGCCATTTTTACATTGACTCCAATTGTTCACATTAGAGCAAAATTCAAAATGCTGTCAAAAATTCAGTTTTTGAGATTTTGAGATTCTGAAATTTGCCACACATCATCTACCATGACTCTAGAATTTTGTCATTTTTTTCATGAACATTGAAGATTTATTTAGCAAGAATTTGCATGTATATGTTTACAGTACCGTTTACAGTCAAACATTTTGGTGCACTGTAGGCTCAATTTTTGATAAATCAAAAATCTGAGAAACATAGGACAGTCTGAAGATGCTCTGGTGTCAATTGAGCAAACATTGTGGGAGGAGATAGGTTTAAGAAGTTTTACAGTTTTTGAAAAATAACAGAGTGATGAACTTCATAATTTTTAATATATTTAAATGTACAAAAGTTTCTTCAGTATTGGGGCTACAGTTTGATGAAAGCTGTGAAGTTGTAGCACGTATGGTTGATTTGTTATGAACTTTCAAAGTTCTGAACTTTAGACGCTTACTGTAGCGCCACCATCAGGACTATTGGCTTGAGTTTACAGCTGAGGATATCTGGCATGAGACTGGACCTTTGTGCAAAGTTTGGTGAGTTTTCACCCATGGGAGGTATGATTTCCTCAGAAGAAGAAGAATACCTAGGATTACAATAGTCTTAGCTTAGCTGCCTGGGCCCTAGTAAAATAATAATAGTACTTAGAGGGGTATTTTTCAGCATTAAGAGTACTTCCACTGTACTTATAATGCACGTGTTTTGCTTGTAAAGAAGTATTTTGTTCTTGTTATAGTGAAAGTTACCAATAACTGCAGTGAGCAGCTTTTTACTAAACCTATTTTAAGGATGAAACCATATATCTGTATCTGTGAGGTGCTTTTAAAGATTGACGTCCTCGGTAGGAACCAATGTGTCCGCAGCCACAGACAGTCGGACCGTGTTCACAGACGGACCTTTGATCTGTTGTTTTGATCTTTTCCAGAAGAGATTTGTAGAGAACTGTAAAACTAAAGTGGCCTGATAAAGTCTCAGGTCACAGCCACGGTGACTCTGGTGCGTTCGGTCCGGTCGGTGACACTCCCGGTGTTCACGGAGAGTCCCCGGAGCGTCCGGTAACATCAAAGCAAACTCACCGGGAACACCGACGATCTCTGAGACTT